GAAACACGGATGCTTCCCAGAGAGGAAACACAGGAACAGGCCCTTGAAAGCTGGGAAGAAATTTACCCAGAAGAAAAGAGGGTCTCCACAGATGTCCCAAGCTAAAGGGCTGTGAAAGATTGTTTTGCTGTTTGGGAGACAGCTGGTTGATAGGGAAAATTGACAAGATGCAGATAGAAAGCTGAAGGGTGTTAGGGGAAAGGAAGGAGGCCCTTGCTTTATACTTAAAGTGCAGGCATCATAAAAAGTTTCACTTAGAAAAACAACATCTTATAAGTCAATGTATTTCTAAGTATGGAGAAATTCACATGCACCCTTTATAACTTACAGTATTATTCTTACTAATAATAACATAGGCCCTTATGTTTCAGGGGTAAATATCAAATTGATTTTAACCCTGAACATCAGTCCTGTGGGTGAGATAAGCTTATTGGGTCTAGAGTCTTCTGACTGTCCCTCTAGCCCAGGACTGATTCTCAAGAACAGCCATCCAGATCCTGAGCTCTAGGCCAGCACGGGCTGGAAAAGCTGAGCCTGGATTTCTGGCCTGGGTGGGAGTCTGAAGCAGCTGCTCAGTCTCATCTCACTTCGAGATTGTAAAATCCTGCAACTCAGCAGCAAGGCTGGCTGCCTGCTGGGGCTGATGCGCTGAGCCGTGGGTGGTCAGGAATGTCTCAGGACTTCCTGGGCCCAGTGTTCCAAGTCTAAGTGTCTGGATTAATGATCCATCCCCAGGAGAGCTAGCCGAAGCGCTGACGCCAGGCACGGGGCATCGATTCGACTTTATACTCTTAAGTCTGCTTTCAGCTGAGGCGCTCCAGGTGGGCTGCATTCTAATAATTAACAACCCCTGAGCCCTACCACATGAACGGCCTGGGAGAGGAGACAGTCTCTGAATAGGTGAAAGGAGTGGAAACCCCAAAGCGTAAGCATAGCGCCCAGCAGACCACCCTGCCCACCAGCCAACACATTGAGCCCACTTGGGTGCTGTACATTGGGTGACTGGGGTCTCACCTCTGAGTGTCATTAAGCTTTTAGAGGGATGATGCATGATGACTTGTACCCTCACTGAGGAAAATAATGTCAAGAGTGGACAGAGGTCAGCTCAGGTAGAAAACAGTGACTACCAGAACTCACATTTTATCTTCTCAGCAGCACAACACCTCTTTCAGGTGTGTTGGGACCCTCCTCGAGGTGACAGAAGAAAGACGTGTGACTTGATTTGTATTTTACAAGAGAAATCGTGACAGAGGTGCTCTGTTATTCACACATATGTTTAATGAAAGCTGAATGCATATTACTATATTCCAGAGGCTGTAGCAGGTGTTGAGGATGGCAAAACATAGACCTGACATCACGAACCTATTGATAGTCAGGGCACAGGGAAAAGCTTAGTGTAGTAGAGGAAACTGATATGCGAACTCTGCTCATTAGCACATCAGGAGTCCTTAGAGAGTCAATCAGGTTGGTATATTGAACACACCAGAGCATGTTGGGCACAGAGTATCAAGGCAGAAATGAGCAATTTCACTCAAAACCAAGGGTGCAGGTAGTAACGGAGAGATGAAAGAAGCTTCAGACAAAAGCCATGGGGTTGTCTGCAGAGCAGGATTGGAGCATGAGCCCTACTGGCCCACGTTGTAACCCCAGCAGCTGGCAGGGATAGGCAAGGGGATCAGGAGTCTGAGGACAGCCTGGGGCATGCTAATACACACCATGGGAGATGAGTCTAGAGACATTCTAGTTGGGACAAGGGGCCTGAGATTTATCCCGAGGGAGTCGGTGAGGAAACAACATGGTTAGGATTGCACCTGAGGAAACTTTCCCTGCTGGCTGAGCATGTGCTGAAGAGGAAAGAGAATGAACCAGACAGCATTTGGGTGGCAAGAGATAGCGGTGACCTGACTTTGTCACTTTGACCACGAAAGACACCAAAGTTTTGTCTGGTCTGGGAAAGTCTGTCTTAGGGCTTTTCTCATTGGAAAAACAGCAGGCCCTGTGGTTGTCAGCTGATGCCAAGTCTCCTGAATGTGGGCTAATTCCACCCTCCTCTGATGGGTGAATAAACTGTAATATTCTGCCCTCTCTTATAAACTTCCCCCACTCTTTACAACACATTTTTTTTGACGATGGAAAGCCCTCCTATCCCCAACACATATGGAGAGAGTCCTTCTATTGCTAACCTTAGCTAGCTCCAGAAGACATGACTTCCTTTTCCATTCAAAACTAGGTATGGGTCAGGCGGCTGAGCATCTAGGGCTGGTTTGCATTGCTATGCCCTGTGGAGGCAACCTCTGCCTTACCACCATGATTTCAAGCACAAACACACAGCGTTTCACAGATGGCCCCTAGCTGACCTCCGTGGCCTCATACTCTTTCCTTTCCATTTATTAACTCTACCTCAAGGTACTTACTATCCCTTAAACACCCAGTAGTATTTGTTCTCAAAATGGAAATGTCTTTTTTTTTTATCAGAATGCTAATACTCACATTCTAATTCAAGCAGTCGCAAACTTAGAAGTTGGGGGGGATAAAATTTTTCTTCTTGGATTCCCTCTGACAATCTCATAAACTCTATTCCCCAGAAATAACACTAGAAATACCCTTCTAGATTCTTTTAAGTGCTTTCTCTGCCTTTTGTAAATTCTTACCTGTTCTTCAGGACTCATAGTCGCAGTTCTCAAGCTGTGAGTTGTGACCCCTTTGGAGGTCACAAACCAGAAATCCTGCGTATCAGATGTTTACACTGTGATTCATAACAGTAGCAAAATTACAGTTATAAAGTAGCAATTAAGATAATTTTATGGTTGGAGTCACCACACATGAGGAACAGTATTAAAGGGTCACAGCATTAGGAAGATTGAGAACCACTGCATTATTTAGCCAGGAAGATGACCTATGGGTTAAAACACTTGCCACCAAGCCTAATGATCTGAGTTTCATCCCAGGGACCTACAGGAGAAAAGGTGAGAATCTATTCCTGTAAGTTGGCTGACCTGCAACACACACACACACACTAAAATAATGATAAAAAGAATTTGTGATGGTTCATTATGACACTGAATTCTCTCCTCAGTGAATTCTCTTTGACCCAGCAGAGGCCGGCTGTGGCATTTGCCACTCAGCCCTGAAGTCATGTGTCCTCATGCTGTGCTGCCATCAGATTGCAAGCTCTGTTATGGTAAGCTCTGTGAGAACATAGCTGCAACAGCCCTGGTCTGGTGACTATATAGTCACAGTGCCTTGTGTATAGTAGACCCTTACTAAATATTTATCAATATGTAGATGCATGGACCGACACATAGATGGGTGTGCAGATGAATGGATGGATCAAAAGATGCGTGCAAAGACTGATGACATTCCTGTGAAACACTCAGCACAATACCTGTAAGGGGATAAGGTTGACATCAAGCAGTGCAAAGGATCTCCGCTGGGAATTAGGAGCCTGGGCTAGTGTCTGGTTATGCCGTCCAATTGCATTACTTTTGTGCGTTCCTCAGCCTATCTGACATTCCATTTCCCCACTGGAACTGAATAGTGGGGCCGGGTAATTCTCCAAAAGCCTCTCCAACGGATGCTCCAGAATGCTCAGTTGGCGGTGACCCAGCACCCCTATTTCACACCTCTATAATTACCCACCTGCATGCCTTTTATTATAGAGATTGGGGTGGGGGTGGGGCTCGTTAAATAAAGGGCAAAAGGAAATTGCTGGCTTGCCAAAATGACATTGCTGGCATTAAGTAGATTAACGTCTGAAATGAAAAGCCCACAAAAGCAAAAGCAAAACAGAGAAGCAAAACCAAAACAGAAAAAGCGACCATGGCTTCCGCTGGAGGCTTCATGGTCACCTGCTCCAGCCTGTCTGACCCAGAGATCAATCTATCCTTACAGGAAAGGTCACAAAAGTCATTCCTGTCTTCCCAATGCTCAGTGACCTCAAAAGAATGATCCTGAGCACCCAGTCCCAGGCTAGGGAGTTAAGAGATGTGCAGGTGGAAAGACAACATGCAGAGCATGAAAGCTGGGATAGGAAGACAAGGCTGAGCGGTCTTCAGTTCCTGAGATTTAGAGCAGCAATCCCTACTCCCAGTGATGATGAGTTGTTCTCTAGACAGCTTCTGAGCAGGGCTTTCTGGGCAAGGGGAAAGAAGATGAAGACACTGGCATGAAAGGGGCACAGATCTGCATAGAAGCAGAGAGAAAGGGACAACACTACTCCAATATAGCTTCTTCTGGTCATACACCTGCCTCAAGACAAAGAGTACAAGCACTGTATCCCAAGACGCCGAAGTGCAGTGTTAGCCCCCACCCCATGCCAAGTCCGAGGGCCAACATGCACAAGCACTGATTAGCAGTCATGGGGGAAGCTGCTGCCAGGTCTGTTGCTGGTGCCAGCCAGTTCTGAGACACAAACAGACTGTCTGGAGACAAGACTAAGACATTGGCCAGTTTGCAGCACTGACTCTTAGAAGAAATGCCGTGATCTTAGTGTAGACCACAAGCCCTGCCCATGGGTCTCCACTGCTCCAGTGATGGCCATTAGGCAGTCGTGAGACCTCCTCTACTGCCCCTCAAAGGGTCTCCTCTGGCCAGATTGGGAATGGGAGAGTATAGGGAAGCATTAGCATATAGGGAAACTCCTTCTAGTTGATGTCTCTGTAAAGATCACATACTTTATATACCCATCCTCATTTCCTCCTCAGAGGAGCACAGAGAGACTAAGAAACTGACCCTCAAAGAGGCTTCCTAAGACTCACAGCAGATAAGTTGCCAGTGCTAGCTTCTGCACTAGGATCCAAATCCCTGCCCCTTTGCCCCACACAGGCCTGCCATTTGGACCCTGTCTTGGCCCTGTGGATACATACTTTCTGGTTTTGCTGTGGATCCAGTCATTAGTGGATGAGCTTTGGTTAAAAGCCACAACTTCTGTAATGCCTTGAACTGTTAGACATCAGAGCTGTCACGTCAACAACCCAAGGGGTATTCTCAACATGACTTACATTACCAGCTGCTTCTGCCAGGGTCATTTGGGATGTTTTCCTTCTGAAGAGTGACAATCTAATGACATAACCACAGACACAGGACTGAGTATATGTCCTGGTAGAAGGCCATCCTGGCACCTTATTAAACCTCCACAAGCCACACATAGGCCCACATAGGTCAGTCCTGGTCAGGATCACCCATGCCAGACTAGGTCACCTGGTATTAATCATTGACTAAAGACCAGTTAAACTAACATCCAGTTCATTAAAGATTAAGCTTCACCCCCATACCCCTCAGGGAAGGGAGCTGTGGCTCGGTAGCCATGTCCTGCTCTGGGAGGTCATTGACTGTGAAAGTTTTCTCAGAGAGCCTCCAGCGAGAGCCTCAGTGTGGACTGAGTTCCAATCATGACTCCTCTTCCTTTCTTTCTTTGTTTTTTACCTTCTTTCTTTAATTTTTTCAGGGTTCCTTAGTTTTTCTTTTTTTAGATTGATTGACTGATTGATTGATTGATTGATTATTTATACAGTATACTACCTGCATGTACACCTGCAAGCCAGAAGAGGGCACCAGATCTCACTATTGATGGTTGTGAACCACCATGTGGTTGCTGGGAACTGAACTCAGGACCTTTGGAAGAACAGCCAAGTGCTCTTAACCTCTGAGCCATCTCTCCAGCCCCCATGACTACACTTTCAACTTACCAGGGAACACTGATCATGCCAGTTCTTCATTCAGAGTTCTAATTTTCTCCCTAGGTAAATTACCTCCCTAGGTAAATGGAGAAAACTTCACTGGTTTTGCCATCCTGGAGGCAGTACCTTTGCTTGCCTTCTCACTCTGAAGGTCTCATTTGTCCAGCTGCAATTGCAATATTAAAACCATGGAGAGTTGGCAATGAGTCACCACTCCACCCTGAGGTAAAGAGGGCAGGGTCTCCGACCTTTCCTCCTTGCTCCCCATTAAAAAAAAAAAAAAAAAACCAGACTGCATTGCTCACCCTAAAAGCATGCCGGCTTCATTTTCTGGGAACTAGCCAGAGACAAGTCTTTAGCAAAGTCCTCTAAGTTCATTCATCTACAAGAAAAAAATTCCCCATCTGATCTATTCCTGGAACCTCCCTTTGGATTATGCCATTCTTGTTGGGTCTGCCAAACCAAAACTTTACAAACCTAGTGAAGACACTGGACCTTCACAAATCAAGATCCAATGTTGAAGTAATGGTGTAATACAGAGTGAAGTAATCAATGACTGATACTGACCATCATGGGCTGTAATTATGTCAGGTGATAGCCCTACATGGAACTAGGATTATAGCAAGTAGATTTTTTTTTTTTTTTTTAAGGTGGGATGTGTGAAGCAAAGTAAGGGAGACAATGAGCTTGGTAACCTCTTGCTCTTTAACCATTTCACAAAATGAATCTAATCACCTCTTTGCCTGTAGATGGCAGCACTGTCCCCTTTCTCTCTCCAAGAGGAACCTTGATTTTCGGTTGAGAACAAGTGCCTCCAGGGGGTAAAGTGCAGATAAATTTGCCCCCGAGCAAACATCCTCACACGTGTGCAATGTAACAAATGTGAATTCACTGAACTTCGGAAGCCTCCCTCTACTTGTAAAACAGCCCTCCCAAGAATCTAGCAAGATTCCAGAAATCACCAAACATTTCCTAAAGAACTATTATCCGTGGAGAGGTCAGCACCTACAGAGCCCGGCTTGGAAACTCCTGAGCGACAGAGGCACTGCATGTAATCCTAAAACAGCAACCTTCTCCCCAGCCATTTTGCACCAGTGTCTTACCTTGGGGCTTTTCACAGACATTGCCTTCAGCTCACACATGCTGAGTCCTCAGTATGTGCCCTGAACACTGCTAAGCTGGTTGCCTACACCTTGTTTTTTTTACCCATGCCCCTGATGTCTGACTTTACCGTGAGAAAACAATGGATAGATGAGTTAACCTTGGACTGAGAATGCAGCTTTGTTAGTAGAGTACTTGCCTCACATATAGGAAGCTTTGCTTTTGACCCTGAGAATCACATAAACCTGGTATGTAGGCATGGTAGTGGAAACTTCTAACCCCAACACTCACGAGGTTGAGGAAAGAGGACTGAAAGTTCAAGGTCATCCTGGGCTGCCTAGAAAGTTCTAGGCAGGCCTCAAATATATGAGACTCTGTCTCAAACAAGCAATAACTACAAGACGTGTCAACTTTTCAGGCTAGCCAGCCTTACACAAGTGGGAAACTGAACAGGGTAGAGCCTCCCGTTCAAGGTCACATGGAAGGAGTTACATGAACAGGGCAAGGAGCCTGCTCTCCTGCTGGCCACTGAAGGAAGAATTTAGAGAGGCAGCAAGCCAGTGCAGGACTCAGAGATAGGACCAGATTAGACTCATACCCAAAAGCCCCTTTGAATACTGTGCCTACTCTCTAAGAAAGTCTTGGGGAAGGAGTTAGGCATGCCTTGCAGCCATTGTAAGCTCTGCACCGAGCAAGCCATTTGGATTGATCAAGTCCCTTCATTTTCCCTAGCATTCCCCAGGTGGGTGGAAACAATTTGTTGAGACAGTAACAGAAAAAAAAATGTTTTTAAAAGTCTAACTGTTGTCTTGCAGTTAGACTTTATTATTCATTATTATTATTATTATTATTATTACTATAATACCCATCAACTTTCATGGTTATTAACCACCTGTTACCCACTAAGGATCTGTCATTTAGAAATCCCTTTACACCCTTCATGGACTTGTTTATCCTCCCTAGGGTTTGAGTCCCCAGCCCAGCCCACATTTCTACAGGCTAGCTCCTCAGCTTTGAATGGATTTTCCAGTTTCTTTTTTGAGTTCCATCATAACCAGATGAACTCATTGCAATACAGTTTTATCTCCTTCTCTAGGCTGGGAGAAAGATCCCAAGGAGAAAAAGGAAGATCCCAATCCATGACCTCCAAGCCCAGAAGGCAGAGGTGGGAAGAGACTAGGTAGGGCTCCTTAACCATCCCAGCTAAGGCTGAGACCAGCATCCAGACCCTATTTCCCTGAAGAGCACTCAAGGCTCAGGATAGCAAATGATATTCTCCAATCCTAGTGTCCTCTTCACACAAGAAGCAAGGGACCAGAAAACCTTTCTATACAAGCCCCAAACAAGGAGAGAGTGCAAAGGACTCAGCATCTACTCTGGTCTATGATCTACAGATCTCAGGTTCAGTTAGAAAGTACGTACGATCCCCCTTTCATGAAGTTCACCGATAAATGAAGCCAAAGTGTAAACAAACACTGCACACAGTGAAATTGGCCAAAGTCTTGAATAGAAAATTTATGAAAAGCAGAAATTAAGGAAAGATCCTGACTGTCCTTGCCTGGGACAACCTGGGAAGACCTAAAGGCTGGGGAGATGACTCATTTGATGCAGTGTTTAATGTCCAGCACCTGGCAGGGGAGAAGCCATGTGTGCAGGAAGTCTATGACCCCAGGACTGGAAAGGTAGAGATGGGTAGATCCATGGGGCTTTGTCCAAGGCAGCCACTCTAGCCAAGTAGTAAGCTCTAAGTTCAATGAAACCACTGCTTCAGAAAATAAGGTAGAAAGTCATTAAGGAAGACACACATACATACACACACACATATACACAAAGGGATGCTAGGCAATGGAGAGGAGCTTGGTAAGCATAAAGGCGGTGAGTATCAGAGAAGGACTTCTGAATCAGGCAGACCATGAGCAAATACTGACAGGCATGGAGTATTCATGGATGGACAGGTCAGAGAACAAAGGGGACCACCTACGTTCTACCTACAGGGAAGCTCTGCTGGGCTTGATCTGCCCTTAGAAAGCACTGACAGCCCCCTTTATGTCCTGTTCTTCAGAAAGCAGCCTACTGACAACTCTGATTGGGGCATCTAAAGAACACTCTGGCTTCCTTAGACAAGGCTGTCAGGTTTCTCCTCAAGAACACACAGGGTCTGAGCATCATTTTATTCCATCTTTAGATTAGTGCTGACTAATCATCAATGCCATGGGTCCCAGTACAGCCCCCACTGCACAAGTCTCCTCAGACACCTCAGCCTACCTCTTTCTTTTGACTATCCTTCCATGACAGTTGAGAGAAACTTACCTTACCAATCGGAAGCAGGGATGGGATGAACCCCAGCCCACCAGCCTTCTCTCTTTTCCTCCCCTGCTGCTCATACAACTGGATAAATTAGCCCACCCAGTCCATCTGGAAAATGGAGAACTCCAGACAAATTTGGGGTGATTGTAACAGTAGCATTTGCCCAGCAAATTATACTCCATGAGCTAATTAGGAAGGGATTGTGACCCTCAGCCTTAATTAATATCTAGTCCCTAACAACTTAATCCTGGGTGAAATCATAGCAAGGATCTCACCAGAATACCGAAATTCTTTCCTCCTACAAATCACCTATATAAATACATATATTTTAATAGCAGCAATTATAAAGTTCTCTGCCAACTTCTGGGGCTGTTTAACATTCCTGGATGGAGGCCACAGCTTTTCCTTGGTCTCCTCCCTCGCCACAGCCGAGGCCTAATGAATAGTCACTCAGGCAGTTCTGTGCGCCGTGTAACCAATATCTCCTACCAGCGGGTCTTCTCAAGGATTTAATAAGCAGTCTGGGAGGACGGCCTGAGGAGGTCCACGAACCTAATCGTTAACTCTGAGGCCTAATCAGCATCTGCTTCCCACCCAGAGTCGGCCTAAGCTACGGGGCCTGGTCCCCCCAGTAATGGATGGAAAATAGGCGATTTCCTGACAGTTAGCAACCAATTTTCCACCAATTAGCTGAGAGATGGTGGTCTCTGGAGGAAAGGAGATGGTTCCAGCACAAGAAGCTGGGCTGGGAGAAAGAAGATGCTAACAGCACACAAGCCAAAGCCTGAGAGTGAAGGGCACTGGGTCTCTCCCACCTTCTTCTCCTCCCCCAAGCCAGTCTCGGCCTGAATCCCTGTGAGGAAGTTTCTGGGGATGGCAACTATACTGGAATCTCCTTGGGGCCCATCTGCCTCTCTTCTCTCTTCCAGGGCCAGATAAGCAAGGGTGGCTACCCGGCTTCTCTCCACAGTGCCCCAAGTGACAGCCATGGAATTCCTCCAAGACCGCTAATGTGGTGGCCTGATTCATGCTGGAGTCGGAATGTTGTGCCTTAAAAAAATCTGAATTTGTAGGCCGGACAGA